AACAAACAGAAAATAAAATCGGATCTTACGTTGGATCTAACGACACAAATTTTTCTAACAGTTTGTTACATATCGGCACACGAATTTATGAAACGATACACTCTTGATTTAAATATGCCACACTCCGCAAATCACATTTAATATGTATATATGTATTATATATATATGCGTGTGTTTGCGTATGTTGTGTGTATAATATATATACATATATCTACAAAATGTTATGATATGATTACAAGTCCTAGTATCTTAAAACTATTTCTTTTTTCCTTTCTCCTCTTTACCTTACGCGTTAGGTCCTGCTCACTATTTTAAAACAAAAATTCCCAAATATTTTTCATCGTCGGATAAAATAGCGATACAACTGTTTACTCTCTACCATAAAACCTAATTTCTTTGTAATCCTATATGTATATATAATTACACAATAGAAAGAGAGACGAAGAGGAGAGAGAGAGAATTATAGTAAAATCGTTATTGTTATTCCTGCTGTTATTGTTATTCGTAATAATAATAATAGCAGCAATAACAATGACGATTTTACTATAATTCATAATAAAAAGTACTAGGATGTGATGTAAAAACAGTTTTACGCGTCCTTCGACGCGTTGTCGCTTAAAAACAAGACGGAAGAGAAAGAAATATAATGTCTGTAAATCGTGAAACAGAGTACAACATTTATCGTGAACAGGTATCGAGAAACAATAAACGAACGATCACTGTCGTCAATGCAACGATCATCGAGCACATCATTTTTAATTATAGTGCATCTTCTTTGTTTGTTTGTTTAAATTGTTCTTTGTTTTCTCATCTCGTTTTTCTTAATTTTTTAGCTTAGTACCTTTGTCACTCTCTTTTTATCTTTTTCTCTCTCTCTTTCTCTCCCTCATTCACACATACACTCTCTCTCTCTCTCTCTCTCTCTCTCTCTTTCTCTCTCTTTCTTGCGTCGATATACACCTATACGTATCACTCTACGATTGATAAGCAATCTTTTCCATTTTTTTCAAATGAGAAACTCTCGTTTAACCTTCTTCATAATCTTTCTAAATTTACTTTATTGTAATCTTTGCCTTGCATTCTTCTCCTCGTTTATCTCGACACTCAATAGTCTCGATCCTCGCTTTTGTTTACTGAGCCTCTTAAAACGACGTACAACTTATCCTCTAGTTGTATTGTAGCAAATATTGCCTCGAATATAAACACCTTTTTTTTCCTTAATTCCCTTATTTAAGTTTATAATTCTCGTTATTATATATTTTCTTTTTTTTTTTATTTTTTTTTTGTTTGCGTAAGTTAGGTCTCTCTCTCGCGATCAATGGACAAAAATGGCGGCTATCTTCTTTCTCTCTCTCTCTCTCCCTCTCTCTCTCGCTCTCTCCCACGCATCCTTTTAAAAAGAGGGGTAAACCAACACGTTTAACCCTTTTTCTTCCCCCACTTGTTTGTTTGTATTTTGTTTTATTTCTTATTATCTTACGTTACGTATGGCCGAGTCAAGTCTCTATCATCATTTTTTGTTTTTTGTTCTTTTTTTTTTACATTTATTTAGAGTAATCATTTGGTTCACTTCGAAAAAAACACAACTTATTACCTTTATATGTACTTGTATTATTATTATTATTATTATTTTGTTTTAACCTTACGCTTTTTTTCGCATTTTTTTTATGCACTTTTTTTTGTTTTATTTCTTAAATCGGAGATCTAAAACCTTTCTTATAAAAACGCCCCCCGGCCCGACAAAATATTGCCGTGGGACCACTAATATATATTGTGTGTCGTCGACTTCATTGTATTCATATAAAATTCAATTCACAGTCCGCGATCTGATCAATAGTGTACGAGCGTTTGAAGAGAATATAACCTTCGGTCGTTTGGCTTTCCTCTCTTTCTCTTCCTAGCTCTGTATTTTTTTCTGCTTCCTTTTAACGTTTCCCTCTTTCTATAGCAGTGCACTGGTATCGAGTCGACGTCGCAACCTGAACACTACAGCTCGGGCGGACTTTCGGTTTCTCGTTCTTTTCTCCTCCGCAATTTCATCCTTATCTCGCGTATCGTCGAGGAAGCAGGAGACATCAACGATTTTCCATTCTTCCGATCGATAAACACGAACGTCTCTCTTTCCATCCTTTCCCCCCTCCCTCCATCTTTTTCTTCCATTTTTCCTTTAATCGTTTCCCTCCTCCAAAAACCGAGACTCGCGAGAAGCTTCCTCGTGCGACACGAAAAGAAAAAGCGACCCGCATTCGAGACGAACCGCGAGCATCCATTTTTCCACGTTGTTTTTTCTTTTCATTTTTTCCACCCTATTTTCCGACCGATCTCTGGCAATACATGCAACCGGATATCGCGAGACCGAAGAATCCGAGATTCTGCGCGCGAAAAGCAAACGCTTTTTCACCGAACTTCGTTTTTTTCTCTTCTTTCTTCCTCTTTTTCCTCTCTCTCTATTCGAGCACAATTCCAAGCGTTGTAAATAAAATCTGAACAATGTGAAAACATAAATAGATATTCGTTCGAAGCGCATGTATGGATATCAATATATAATATAGATATATACACGTACAGAGTATATAAAACAACGACAGACAGAGCTATCAGTAATCGGAGAATAGCGAGACTTTCCCGTTTCTTATTCAGTTATTTAGTTGCTTAACTTTTTTTTCTTTTTCTTTCTCTCGTCCTTTGCTGTATAGCAAAAGATTCTCGCGAGTCGAATGCAACTGTTTTATTATTATTTATATCTGTTTGTTTGTCTCGTTCGTCGTGACGGAGTAGTGTCAGCTTTTTTCTTTCCCCTAGGCGGACCTACTCGTATGGAACGATTGATCCAGATCCTCTGAACACTCTCAGATTAACAGTATCCTGTGTGTAGTTTCTAATGGTCAATGAGGAACCTCCGATTTATTGGATCCCACGAGAAATGGTCAACGAGGAACACGGTGCACTCGGCTTCGAGATCGTGGAGGTGTCTTTTTCGTTACGCTTGCTTCTTTCGTTTCATTTTTCTTTTTCTTACTTTTTCTGGTTAAAATCTGCACGTAAAACTGATATATTGTAGTAGCTCGTACATGCGCCGCAAATTCCGTTTCCTTTTTTCAGAACGGCACACGCGCTACGAAAACGAATAACGTGAAACGAATAACGTGCAACGTCATACACGCTGGATCAACGTAGAAGCGACTGTTGTGTTAATGGTCTGTCTGTTTCGCGAGAAACTGTCGATTTCTCGCTTCTTATTTGTCAATTTTTTCAAATCATTTCTTCTTTTTTTCTTTTTTTGCGTCGAATATCTCTTTGAACAACGATAAGGAACGCGAGTACAAGACGATTTCTCGACAGTTGCCCACGAAATCTATTGGTCTTGCTTCCCCAGCCCATGATATGTGTAATCCGTGGCCACCATGGCATACTCCTATTAGACGCAGGGTCCTGTCCATTCTCTCTATATATACAAGTCAATCCTTCGCGATCCTAGCGTCTAACAGAAGGAAAGAAGCTACCGCGAAAGCGACGAATCGAATCCTCTGCCGTATTTTTCCAACTGTTTCCTTTCTCTCAAAAAGGAAAATCGTATTCCTTGCTTTATTTACTTTATCAATGAATTTCAACGACGAGAAGATTCGTCTCGAGTTAATACTGACACACACACACACACTAGTAGCACACCGTGGAGAATCGGTGTCCAAACACCGTTCGGGATCTCCGCGCTACGGACTAAGCACGTATACCCGGACCTCGCCAAAGCAACGCAAGGAGGAAAGAAGAAACGAAAGAAGAATAGAGTCGAATCGAAATAAACTGCGTAGAGAAAAAAAAACAGAAGGAGACTATAGAGAAAACGAACAAAGAAGAAGGTGTAAAGATCATACAGAGCATAGTGTGTAAATTGATCGAGAGGGGCAGAAAGCAACAGGCAAAAGAAAGATGAACATCGCTGCCTCTCGATGTTTCGCCTTTCTCGACATTTCCATTTATCCAGTTATGCGGACGATCCTCGATGACTTTCGTGCAGCCCACTCGTGCCACGCTCCACCCTGTCGACGACGATGATCCCGCCGACGCCGCGATCATCTTTTTCAGTGAGAAACCTTTTCGAGCCAGATTATCTTAGTTTGTTCTCCTCGATTCTCGAGGCCGAGTTCCGTCTCGCTGACCCTCGAACGGAACCGATTCTTCCAGTGACCAGCGTCTGATCTTTGCCAGGTGGTCACCACGCGACGAGTAGGAGAAGAAGAATTGTAGTAGCAGCAGCGCAGGAGAAGAATTTATAGGTGAACGAGGTTTCGTTATCGTGGTTGTTGTCTTGTATTGCTACCTCGTCCGGCGAGTAGGCCCGCTGCTCCTTTCATCCGTACGGCCAGAACGTAGGTAACGGAGGCGGTGGCGGCGGTGGCACGGTAGGATACAGAGTCGGGGTGGCGATCAGGACGCAGGTGGGCGGCAAGGGAGGCGGCACGGGCG